CTCCTCCTCCCTCTCCCTCTTCCTCATCTCTGCCTTTCAAATAAAACAAGAACATATAAATAAAAGTTTTTTTTTTTTGTTTTTTTTTTTTTGTTTTTTTTTGACAGGCAGAGTGGACAGTGAGAGAGAGAGACAGAGAAAGGTCTTCCTTTGCCGTTGGATCACCCTCCAATGGCCGCCGCTGCAGCCGGCGCACCGCGCTGATCCGATGGCAGGAGCCAGGATCCAGGTGCTTTTCCTGGTCTCCCATGGGGTGCAGGGCCCAAGCACCTGGGCCATCCTCCACTGCACTCCCTGGCCATAGCAGAGAGCTGGCCTGGAAGAGGGGCAACCGGGACAGAATCCGGCGCCCCAACCGGGACTAGAACCCGGTGTGCCGGCGCCGCAAGGTGGAGGATTAGCCTATTGAGCCACGGCGCCGGCTCAAAAGTTTTTAAAAAACAAAATACTGCAGGGGCCCGTGCTGTGGCAAAGTGGGTAAAGCCACTGCCTGCAGTGCTGGCATCCCATATGAGCGCCGGTTCGAGTCCCGGCTGCTCCACTTCTGATTCAGCTCTCTGCTATGGGCTGGGAAAGCAGTAAAAGATTGCCCAAGTCCTTGGGCTCCTGCACCTGTGTGGGAGACCCGGAAGAAGCTCCTGGCTCCTGGCTTTGGATCGGCATGGCTTTGGCCGTTGTGGGGCCATCTGGGGAGTGAATCAGCAGATGGAAGACTTCTCTCTCCTTCTCTGCCTCTGCCTCTTTGTAACTCTGCCTTTCAAATAAATAAATAAACCTTAAAAAAAAAAGTTTGAAATGCCTCTTAGACATCTATGAGGGTATAAGTCTGAAGTTCCAGGGAGTTTGAGGCTGGATACACAATTGAGAGTCATTAGCCAATGATTGCTATTGAAAGTCACTGGATTAGAAAAGCATATTTCGGGGCCAGCACCATGGCTCACTAGGTTAATCCTCTGCCTGCGGTGCCGGCATCCCATATGGGCGCCGGGTTCTAGTCCCGGTTGCTCTTCTTCCAGTCCAGCTCTCTGCTGTGGCCCGGGAGGGCAGTGGAGGATGGCCCAAATGCTTGGGCCCTGCACCCGCATGGGAGACCAGTAAGAAGCACTTATCTCCTGGCTTCGGACTGGCGCACTGCCGGCTGTGGCGGCCATTTGGGGAGTGAACCAATGGAAGGAAGACCTTTCTCTCTGTCTCTCTCTCTCACTGTCTGTAACTCTACCTGTCAAGTAAATAAAAAAAAAAAAAAAAAAAAAAAACTAAAGTCACTGGATTAGAAGAGTGTATTTCAAAACCTGGGACACATCTCCATTTAGAGGTTGAGGAGAGCCTGGGAGGTAGGACAAGACCCAAGGAAGCAGAATATCAGAGAAAACAGTGATCAGCCTTGTCAAATGCTGCTGAGAAAATAAGTAAGATTAAAACAAAGAAGTAGTCTTAGATGTGGTAACACAAAGGTCATCAATTGACAGACACCAGGAGAGCCCTGGTAACAATAGGAAGAGATCAGAGTAAGGAGGGGGCAAGGAGGAGGGAAATCAAATACAAAACCACAGACAGCTTATAAGTCTCACTCAGGAAAAGAATATAGAAACTAGAAGACAGCTTTAGAGGGATATATAATGTCAGCACATTTGCAACATCGAAAAGACATAATTAGAAAAGGTTCTGGGAATGAAGGAATTGGTTTGTTTTCAGATAAGAAACTATACAGCATATGTAGTTGCTACTGAGGATTATCCATTGATGAGGGTTAATTTAGTGATGGCAGAGAGAGGCACATAAATCCATTTTATAAAGATCTGGAAGACATAATCACATCATCACATCACAGGGGCCCAAGGTTAAAAGAAAAACTGGTAAGCAGGGGAGCTGGAATACCAATCCAGGTTTGTTTTGACTCCTCTGTGTATCCTTTTTCCATCACATCATTTACCATGATATATACAGCCACATTTGCAAAAAATCCCAACTCCAGGCTCTGAAGATAATCAGAGCAGAGTTGGAAAGAATCTTCAGAGAACTTGAGAGAGCCAATGCTAACACACACCCCCTCCTCACTCCTCCTCTGTTCCTCACACAGATTTCCATTACTGCATTTCCCTCTAGTCTCATTTATGTTTGCCCATCTGGCTGGAGACCTACTTACTAACTGTAGGACCCTCAATTGTTGCCTTTCTATATTTAGAGTGGGTTTGACAAGAGGATGCGGAACACAAGAAAAGTCACAGTGCAATGTGAGTGGAAAAACTGTAGGAAATACACTCTCCAGGGAGTTAATAAGGTAGTAAAGAGAGTTTTAAAACGTAATTACATATATATTTATATTTATTTATATATACAAATATCTTCAGCAAAAGTGAAGATGGAAATAAAGGTGCAGGGTCATTTTATCCCTTTCCCCTTTACCTGGTTATGTCAGGTAGAAAGTGACCGTAGATCCTCCAGGAAGTGGCTCCTTGTCACCTGTTTTCCATACCTAACCCTGTTCTATCACATGGCAACATAACCTGTTCCCCACCTGCATCATTCTCTCACCTAGCTTTCCAATATGTGTTCTAGCTTGTCTCTCCCTTGCAACAGAGCTGCTATCTCCCCCCACAAAGCCCTCCCTGATCTGTCCTCTGAACCTTCATAATACTAAATGACTAGTACCACAAAAAAAATTAGTTCTTGACCAACTTAGGTTTTAAAACTATTCTCTGGGGACAGGCATTTGGCTTAGTAGTTAATACGCCACTTTGGACGCCCAAATCCCACACTGGAATGCAGGATTCAAGTCCCAGCACCATGGCCAGAGTTGTGGTGTAGTAGGTAAAGCCAACGCCTGTGACATGTGCCAGCTGCTCCACTTGTGATCTAGCTCCCTGCTAATGGCCTAGAAAAAGCAAAATAGATGGCCTAAGTGTTTGGGTTCCTCCCACCCATGTGGGAGACCCAGATGAAGCTCCTGGCTCCTGACTTCAGCCTGGCCCAGAGCTGGCTATTACAGCCACCTAGGGAGTGAACCAGTGGATGAAGATCTCTGTTTCTCCCTCTCTCTCCCTGTAACTCTGACTTTCAAAATAATTAAATCTTAGGCCGGCGCCACGGCTCAATAGGCTAATCCTCCACCATGCGGCGCCGGCACACTGGGTTCTAGTCCCGGTCGGGGCGCCGGATTCTGTCCTGGTTGCCCCTCTTCCAGGCCAGCCCTCTGCTATGGCCCGGGAGTGCAGTGGAGGATGGCCCAAGTCCTTGGGCCCTGCACCCACATGGGAGAAGCATGCCGGCTGTGGCGGCCATTGGAGGGTGAACCAACAGCAAAAAGGAAGACCTTTCTCTCTGTCTCTCTCACTGTCCACTCTGCCCGTCAAAATAAATAAATAAATAAATAAATAAATCTTAAAATAAAAAAAAAAAGTCTCAGCTCCATTCTCTATTCCAGCTTCCTGTCAATGTACACCCTGGGAGGCAGCAGGTGATGACTCAAGTACTTGGGTCCCTGCCACACAGATAGGAGACCTGAAGTGAGTTCCCAGCTGATAGTATCTGGGGAGTGTACCAACAGATAGGACTCCCCCCCCCCCACATTAAAATAAAAACTATTATCTAGTTCAAGTACCAGAGTGGAAGCAAGAGCACAATTATTGGCCACTGTGAATTTGAGACGTAGTTTCTTAGTAGAAATAGTCACATGGACTGGGTTGAAAGTGTGGCTGTCTTCCACTTTTGACAAGATAAATGACCCTGGGGAAGTTGCTCTCTGTACTTCTGTTCTCCCATTAAGAAATGGGACTACTACCTACCTCATAGACTACTGCGAGACTTACACAGAATACTTTTGAAAAGCACCTGTCACAGTGCCTGGCCTACAGTAAGTGCTCTATAAATATTAATCCCCTTCCTCCTAATAACTTTATGAATGTTAATTTTATGTCTTCAACAATATGTTCTTGAGGATAGGTCACACATTTAATGTATGTCATTAGATCATGCACAGTCCCTACCACACAGCCCAACACATTGCAGGCACTCGATTAAAGACCTTCTTGGTTTGCTCTCAAGAAAAATGTTGCCTGTAGGAATGCCTTACATTCAGTAGCCCAGGGTTTTCCTAATGGTGGTACTGAGAGAACCGCATTAAACTCATCCAAAGAGATCCTTAAAAATAATATTGCTAGATACCTTCCTAGATATTCTTATTAAGAAAGGCTTGTTAATTAACTTCCAAAGAATAAGACAGGGCTTTCAATTTCTTACTATATATACATACATTTTATATATATATATATTTTACACTATATACATTTTTATACTATATACATTTTACTGTATATACTCTTTGTTGCTTTATTTTTTTTTTTATAATAAGTACTATTTACACAAGCCATGTGCTGGATAGTCTACTCTTCTGCTGAAAAGCCCACAATGGCTTTTCATGGTTTTCAATATCAGGTCCAGAGCTCTTCAATTTGTTTATAACATCCTCTCGGAGAACTTCTCCAGCCTCACTCCTCACGTAGCTCACATTTCATATCCCAGCTATAATGAATTCCTCATGACTTTTCCTCCCTCCCTCCCTCCCTCCCGCCCTCTCTCTCTCTCTCACACACACACACACACACATCCAGGCTTTAGGAGACAGATGGAAGCTTAGTCCTTCCAGTCCCCACACTCTCACTCCACCTTCCTCAGGAGTCATCTCCTCCTGGAAGATTTCCTGGATTTGCCACCTTCACTCTTCTCTTCCCACACCCCAAATGGAGGTTAGAGTCTCCTATTTGGTTCTCCCATAATACCTTGTACATGGCTTAATCACTGCAGTTACCCCACTGTTCATAATTATTTACAGGATGACATGCTCCAAAACGAGGGCTCCTTGAAGGGAAGGAGTGGGTTGTACTCACCTGTGTAGCCCAGTACTTATGTCTACATTGCCTTTCTGATGCTTTTTTCCTCATTTATGAAATGGGAAGAATATCATCTACTTGCAAGGTTGAGATAGAGTATTAAAAGCTTACCATAGGCATACAAGAAGCTTTCAGTATTCATGGCATACACCAGGCCTTCAGCACATTCACTTTACACTCTAAGCCTCTTGTGTTTTTGCTTTCCAATTCTGCTCTTTAGGTCTAGCATCTTCTACTGGCCCTGTGTTCCCAGTGCAAACCTCCCCACCAGTATCCATATGGCTGAGCAGTGAGAGTCTCCAGGTCTACACTTCTCTTGGACTCCTATTCCTCTGGCCCCTAGGATGACTCAGCTAAAAGACTCAGCTAAGAGTCTCAGCTAAGAGCACAAGGCAATGTCCCAGATGCAGTAAAAAGTGATAAGACAGAGCCGGTATTGTGGCATAGAAGGTTAAGTCGCTGCCTAGTGTGCTGTCATCCCATATGGGCAGCAGTTCAAATCCTGGCTCCTCCACTTCTGATCTAGCTCCCTGCTAAGGCACCTGGGGAAGCAACAGAAGATGGCCCAAGTGCTTGGGCCCCTGCACCAGCATGGGAGACCTGGAAGAAGATCCTGGCTCCTGGCTTCAGCCTGGCCCAGCCCTAGCTGTTGCAGCCATTTAGGGAGTGAACCAGCAGATAGAAGGTTTCTCTCTCTCTCTCTCTCTCCCCCTGACTTTCAAATAAAAAAAAAAAAGTGAAGACATACCCAAGGAATGCATGATTGTACAATCTCCTAGAGGGGAGGAGACAGATGGGGACACAACTAGACAAATGAGGACACAACTAAACAGTACAGTAAGATGGAAATTTTATCTCTAGGGACAAACAGGAAAGCCTTAGAGAAAGTGGCATTTGGAGCCAGTACTATGGTGTAGAAGGTAAAGCCTCCACCTGCAGTGTCAGCAGGGTGCCGGTTTGAATCCGTTTTGATCCAGCTCCCTGCTAATGTGCCTGGGGAAGCACCAGAAGATGGCCCAAGCACCTACGTGGGACCTGGAAGAAATTCCTGGCTCCTGTCTTCAGCCTGGTCTAACCCTGGCCTTTGCAGCCATTTGGGGAATGAACCAGTGGATAGAAGATCTCTCTCTCTCTCTCTCTCTCCCTATATATAGGGAGAGAGAGAGAGAGAGATCTTCTATCCATATATATATATATATATGAGATATATATATATATATATTTCTGCCATTCAAATAAATAAATAAATCTTTTTTTTTTAAAGTGGCATTGGAATTGGACCACAGAGGATGGATTTAAGCAAGGGGTTGCTTCCAGAGTTGCATGTGTTCAACAAAACACAACATCAAAATGTTCCTGCTTCTCAAATTACTAAAGTAAATCTAGGAAATTCTGCCTACTTAATACCACTCTAGGAGAGTCACAATGCACAATAACAAGCCTTGGAGGTGTTTTTAATTAAGGAACTCCATTTAACTTGTGCTTAATCTAGCACCCCAAGTTTGTCTGATCACTGGTTCCCTATTTCTTTCCTTCCGGGTAATACACTTTAACAAACAACAATTTGGAGCTAGTGTTGTGATGCAGAGGGTTATGCTGGCATCCCACATCAGAGCACCAGTTCAACTCCTGACTGTTCCACTTCTGGTCCAGCTCCTGCTGATGTGCCTGGAGAAGCAGCAGAAGATGGCCCAAGTATTTGGGCCCCTGCCACCCATGTGGAAGATTCAGATGGAGTACCCAGTTCCTTGCTTCAGCCTGGCCTAGTTCCAGCTATTGGGGCTCTTTGGGGAGCGAAGGTATCTTTCTCTGTCTCTCTCTCTGTCACTCTGCCTTTCATGTAGATAAAGTAAATCTGTTTTACAAAGTAAAGAAAAAGAGGGGTCCGGTGCTGTGGCATAATGGGTAAAGATGCGGCCTGCTGTGCAGGCATCCCATCGAATCCTGGCTGCTCTACTTCCCATCCAGCTCTCTGCTATGGTCTGAGAAAGCAATAGAACAGCCCAAGTCCTTGGGCCCCTGCATCAGCACGGGAGAACTGGAAGAAGCTCCTGGCTCATGGCTCCGGATCGGCACAGCTCTGACCGTTGCAGCCAATTGCAGAGTGAACCAGGAGATGGAAGACATCTCTCTCTCTGCCTCTCCTTCTCTCTCTGTGTAATGCTGACTTTCAAATAAATAAATAAATCTTAAAAAAAAAAAAAAAAAAAGAGAAAGAAACAACAGGTTAACTGTTACCCTTTCAATGCTTTATGTATGTTTGAATTACAATAGGACCACACATAGACAATATCTGACATCAGCATTTTTTTGAAAGATTTATTTATTTAAAAGTCAGAATTACCCAGAGAAAGAAAGAAAGAAAAGCAGAAAGGCAGAGTGAGAGAGAGAGGTCTTCCATCTACTGGTTCACTTCCCAGTTGGCCGCAACAGCCGAAGCTGTGCTGATCTGAAGCCAGGAGCCAGGAGCTTCTTCTGGGTCTCCCGGGCGGGTGTAGGGACCCAAAGACTTGGGCCATCTTCTACTGCTTTCTCAGGCCATAGCAGAGAGCTGGATTGGAAGTGGAGCAGCCGGGACTTGAACCAGCACCCGTATTGGATGACAGCACTGCAGGCGGCAGGCAGCTTTACCTGCTACACCACAGTGCCAGTCCCATATCAGCATTTTTTTGAACAGTTATTTATTTGAGACAGTGAGAGAGAGATCTCCCATCTGTTGATTCAGTCTCCTAATGTCAGCAACTGCTAGGACTGAGCCAGGCCAAAACCAGCCTCCCATGTAGGTGACAGGGACCCAACGACTTGAACCATAATCAGCTATTTCCCAGGGTTCACAATAGCAGGAAACTGGAATTAGGAGCAGAGCCAGGACTCAAACCCAGGCATTCCTGAAGCCTGTGGGCATCTTAACTCTAGGCCAAAAACTAGCCCTCATAATCAAACATTTTGTCCAATGAGAACAAACAAGGGAAGACACTAAAGAACTAAGTAGCTGTCAAGGCAGGACAAAAATCCCCTCCTTCTCGAGGAAGAAACACAGTACAGACCACAAGTTTTTCAGCCAGGGAAAAAAGCAAGCATCTTTGGCTGAGTCCATTCCCTCTTTGTTAGGATGTTTACACACTTCCAGCCACCAGCTCTGCCTCTCCAACCTGCTGACTGCCTCAAAAACACCAGACTTGAAAGCAAAGGGAGCAACATTGCATAACAACAAGCCGACAAGGCATGTTTTGCTCTTTAATAGTTACCAAACAATTCTGCTTGTAAAACACAAGAAGGGGCATGCTTGTCTGTTCCTGTCCCTGGAAATGCAATGCTGACTTATCCCATCTGTAAATGAACAAATGTATACTGAGAATGAGGTACTGTGTTCATGATATAGAGAAAAATAAAATGTAGTTCACCTTCCAATTCCTCCTCTGCAGTCCAAAGGAGCAGACAGACAGGCAAACATACTGCAATGCAGCAAGCAAAGTGCAAGCAAATGATTCTACAATAAGAGGTGAGTACAAACTGTCAGATAGTCATAAAAGCAGAGACTCCTTAATTTTGCTTGGACTTACGGTCAGAAGAGAGGCAATGTTAAATTGAGAGAAGAGATTCTCCTGGTTCTTAAAGCTGTTTTTTCTGATCTGCAGTAACTAATACAGTACTGAAACAAATGTAATATATATAAGCAAAATTGACATTTTGAGATTTGATTATGGTTTATAGCATTTGTCTCTATTGTTGAGGAACAGTATTTTTTCCTTCTTACTATTTGTTGAATTCTTTACTTAGTGTAGGGTTAGTTTTATGATTATAAAATAAACAAAATATGTCATTGTAAAAATTAAGAAAGAATAAGAAAGGAAGGAGGAGGGATGGTAGGGTAGGAAGTATCATTATACTCCTAAATCTGTATATATGAAATACATGAAATTTAGTCACCTTACATTAAAAAAAAAAAAAGCTTAAAAAGGAATTTGGAAGGCAAATAAATTTGTACCTATGAGGGCTCTTCAAAAAGTTTGTGGAAATATATTTTATGAAAAAAACTATTCATGGATTTAAAAAATTTTTATGTTAAAATGATCTTATCATTTAAAAAAATTTACCTATTTATTTTCATTTTATTTGAAAGGCAGGGAGAAGAGATGTTCTAGCCACTGGTTCACTCCCCAAATGCCCACAATTGTCAAGGCTAGGCCAGGCCAAAGTTATGGGGGTAAGGGACTCAAGTACTTGAGCCATCATCTGCTGCCTCCATTAGTAGGAAGCTGGATCAGAAGTGGAGTAGTTGGCACTTGAACAAGGCACTCTGATATGGGATGCAGGTGTCTAAAGTGGCAACTTAGGATGCTGTATCAAATGCCTGCTCCGAACTTACTTATCTTTTAATTTCATTATTTATGAACTTTTTGAAGTACCTTTTGGTACATGAATAAAAGACATTTATAGAATTAAATAGAATAGGGGGCCAGCACTGTGGCTCACTTGGCTAATCCTTCACCTGCAGCGCCAGCATCCCATATGGGCGCCGGGTTCTAGTCCCGGTTGCTCCTCTTCCAGTCCAGCTCTCTGCTGTGGGCTGGGAGGGCAGTGGAGGATGGCCCAAGTGCTTGGGCCCCTGCACCTGCATGGGAGACCAGGAGGAAGCACCTGGCTCCTGGCTTCGGATCCACACAGTGCCAGCCATAGCAGCCATTTGGGGGGTGAACCAACGGAAGGAAGACCTTTCTCTGTCTGTCTCTTTTTCACTATCTATAACTCTACCTGTCAAATAAAAAAATAAAATTTGAAAAAAAAAAAAAAGAATTAAGTAGAATAGAATAGGGCAACATTGAAAAAACTATATGCAGCCAGTCATTAACTTAATTAATTCTAAAGCCCACAAAGATTCAGTAAGGTACTATTTTTTCTTTCCAACAAACCTTGCAGGGAAGGATGAGAGGAGAGAACGGTATCAAATTTTGGAAGCTTGGAACGCATAAGAACAAGTAGCAAATGATTTAGTTGACTCAAGGAATCTGAAACCTAAACCAAATGCAAGGAAAATTGAGAATCCAGCTGATTTAAACTGCAGAATCCTTAAAAAGCACAAGAACTGGCAGTACCTCGCACTCCCAGCGCAGGAGTGAAGGATGCTGGAATAAAGAACACAGGAGTGAAAGCTGCTGAAAGAGTCAGATCCCTAGATTCCTCCTCACTGACAGAATTCTGGACACTTAACCTCTGGAGGGCATAAAACAGAAATGTCTAAGAGCATTGCAGCTTGGAAAGAATCTGGGGAAAGGCATAGGGAAATAAAGATAAAACAGAAATGTCTGTGAACCATTGGCAGGGCTGAATGATGGGTACGTGAAGGCTCATTGTACTGCCCTCTCTGCTTTTGCAAATCTTTGGAATTTTCCGTAACAGGAAGAGCATCTCTGGCCTGCAAGTGCCTAGCACACGTGGGTGGGAAATAAGAGTGACAGGGTACTACATCTAGTGAAGGTATATTGCAAAGTCTCCCCTCCATTTCTTCTCATTCATTGCCAGGTAAATCCCCACTCTGCAAAGGACAGTGGAAAAGTCCTCCTTGGGTGAATACTATCAAGGGAAAACCTGAAGATACTGAAACAGAGGCTCCCAACCAGCAGCCCACTCAGACCAGCCTACAGTGAGGCTCAGAGTAAATGATCCACATCCCTCAATAGGGGTTTTCTGACATAGCTTCTGGTTTTTTCTTAATACCTTCATTGAAAGGTAATACATATACTAAACAATTCATCCTTTTAAAGTATGTGACTCAGTGGTTTTTAGTGTATGCACAGTTATACAACCATCACCACAATCAATTTTAGAACATTTTCATCCCCCCAAAGAAAACGCAATACTCATTATCAGTCACTCTGCACCCCCGCCCCAACCAACCCATCCCTGCTCCCCAGCCCTGGGAAACTACCAATCTATTTTCTGTCTCTATCGATTTGCCTATTCTGGACATTTCACATAAATGAAATCATATGTTGTGTAGTCTTTTGTGAGCGGCTTCCTTCTCTTACTGTAAAGTCAAGTCCTGACACTTTCCCTCTCCTTCGTAATGGAAGCTACACAGCTAAGGATCACATTCAAA